CAGTGTTTTCCTGTCTGACTACATAATTACAATTACATTTTGCTACATGGAATACAATAAACACTTCCATTTACACACACATTCAAACTGGGCTATTCCTTATTAACATATTGGTAATGGGTGAGTCATACTTAAAACAACATTAATATTTAGAAAGGCTTGAGGACGAACTAGCAGGACAAATTCATGACAACATCGCGCCAGCAGTCAACAAGCGCTTGATTCTTCGCCGCAACCCTACAGCCAGCCCAAGCCAGTGATAGTGAAAGTGAAGTTGACTTTGATTTGTCAGGGAAGCCCTAAGCAACTGTGAAAGTGACATTGATGGTGATTCACCTAGTAATGATGAGTTACCTAGTAATAGTGATTCACCTGAGGTTGATAATCTGCCCTCTGCCTCGGAACCAGCCTCCATCGTACCCGACCCATCTCTTCTACAGCGTAAGTGTTACACAAAATTTTTAGTTTCTCTAACTTAACCTTCATTTTCCTATGTTAACCTTTATTTTTTCCTAGCCTAACCTCTTCTATATTGTTTTCATACCATCATAAAGTTAAGATAAAATTTTTACTACAACATAGTTATGTGTATGCGTCAAAAGTGGGTTGGAGTCGGAGCTGGTTTCTATTGGAATAATCCCATATGTTCTGTTGTTCCTTAGCAGTTCATAACAGGACCTCTGGGTTCAATTGACACGTTAAGTGGGGGTACTAACATATATATATATATATATATATATATATATATATATACATATATATATATATATATATATATATATATATATATATATATATATATATATATATATATATATATATATATATATATATATATATATATATATATATATATATATATATATATATATATATATATATATATATATATATATATATATATATATATATATATATATATATATATATATGCAAGTAAATCACTGTAGGTGCGCGTGATCTAGGTATATGCTGATAACCACAAGTAAAGAAGAAAACACGAAGTTCCCAAGCGCTTTCGTGTAATTCACATCTTCAGGGGTGAGTACAGACTAGAGAGAGTAATACAAATCAAGGTGTATATATACAGAGGAGGGTGAGACCAGGTCCACAATGGTCAGATATTAGGTAATGACCCTACTAATCTTTAAATAGCACACAACGGTTGGTGGTCAGGTCAGATGGTCAAGTGACCCGGCCTTCTCACCTGATCACAAATCTTCTTAATTACAAAATTGTCCAGCTTGTACATGCCGTTACTCAAATTCATGCTGAATGCTTCGGTATGTTTAATAAGACTAGATTCGATGATGTTCCTACTATCAATTGAATTACATGGTAATATTGAGGAGGCATTATCCCAGTCAATGCAATGCTTGTTATCCCTCAAATGAACAAACAGAGCATTGGATTCCTGGCCTGTCCTAACACTGTATTTATGTTGTTTAATTCTAGTTGCAAGATCTTTACCTGTCTGGCCTAAGTAAAACATATTACATTCCTTGCAAGGAACTTTATAAATGCACCCAATTGTGTTGTTGGGGGAATTCTTGATTAACATTTGTTTAACAGTGCATGAGTTTTTAAATGCCACATTGACGTTCCAGGTTTTTAGCTGTGCAGGAATGTGTGAGAAATTTTTGTGAAATGGTAATATTAAGATATTCTTATGGTCATGGGTGGGCTTGGGATCAGTTCTATAAAAAGTTTTCTTAGTAATGTTTAGGCATTTGTCTATGAAAGATCTAGGGTATTTAAGGTTTGAGCCAATATTATATATATATATTTGTATTCCTCATCGATGAATTCCGGACTGCAAATTCTCAAGGCACGAAAAACATTGTTGAAAATACTGACTGTTTGACTTTATTATGGTGGGCAGAGTAATAATGAATGTATGAACACACATTAGTTGGTTTTCTATAAATACTGAACTTAAAAGTGTTACATATTCTGTGTATCAGACAGTCTAGGAATGGCAATTTACAGTCTTGCTCTAATTCCACAGTGAATTTGATCGAGGGGGCTAAGTTGTTAAGTTGTGGCAGGAAAGCTTTTAGGTCCTCATTACATGGCCAGAGACATAATACATCATCAACATATCTAAACCAGACTGCTGAGGGTGGTAAAATATTACTTAATAGTTTCTTTTCAAAGAATTCCATATATAGGTTGCTTAATACAGGTGAGAGTGGATTACCCATTGCCATACCAAATTTTGAGCATAATATTCCCCATTGAATTCGAATTTGCAATCCTTAATACATAGTTTGATGAGTTCGATGAAGTCGTCTTTCGAGACGGGCAGTGAAATGTTATCCAGGGAATCTATGAGGAACTCTAGTAAATCATCAACTGGGACCTTTGTAAAGAGTGACGTTACATCAAAGCTGACCAGTTTAAAATCATGATTAATGTGTAAGTTATTGAGTTTATCAACCAGATCCATATTATTCTTGATAATGGAGTTAGAAATGTTGCCAACTAGGGGATTTAGTAAAGAAACTAACCATTTAGATAGTTTATAAGAGATTGACCCAACTGAGCTAATGATGGGTCTTGCTGGGTTATTGGGCTTGTGGGTCTTGATTACACCGTACATGTATGGCAGTGGAGGGGACGTTGAAGTAAGATGTTTAATGAGCGTAGCTTTGCCTCTCAATAGGGACTTCAGTTTTTTGTTGAACTGGGTGTTGACAGTGTTGAGAGGATTATTTATGAGTTTAGAATATGTTGTAGTATCACATAACAGGTCATTCATTTTAGAGATATAGTCATCTTTGTTTAAAATCACTACTGTGTTGGCTTTATCTGCTTTAGTGACATGTAGATCCTTATTTTTCTTAAGGGCTTGGATTGCTTTGGTGAATCTTTCTGGACAGTTTGGAACACAAGGCTTGGACATAGATGCACACACAACACCTTTACACATGTTCACTTCTTCACTTGTCAAATTACTGAATTTCTCCAAATTGCAAAATGCTCTGGCTATGTCAACACTGTCGACTCCCTTGTTAGAACCATCAAAACTTAAACCATAGCCGAGGGCACACAAGGTATCGTTGTCTAGTTGTTTAGAGGAGAGATTCACTACACAGTTGTTATTGGCATCCTTAGTCCAATCACTATTTCTAATAAGGAGTGCCAATTTGTGGTCTATCTTGGCTTGAAGATCAGAACGCTCACGTCTCAGGTTATCAAAACAATAGTCCAACATGAACTTTTTCCATTGACTCGGTATGGTCATATTAAAAGCGCGCTTTTTTTGTCTTACAATACGGAAGGCTTCATCCACTTCAATTTTCTTTATTTCAAAATGTTTCTTAAGGATGATTTCTTGGAACTCATCAAAGGGGCGGTCAGACATCTTCAGGACACGTTGTGGGAGGATTGATCTAGGCATAACTTTTTCACTGAGGCATGTCTGGAGAAATTTCAAACGTATTTTCAATTTGTGGGCCTTGATCATCGAAGAGGAGTATTCAGTAACGAAGGGAGACAGTCCAGGACAGCTTGTAGAGAGGATGAAGAAGTGGCGCGTGGAATCCATTTATGCAAGTAAATCACTGTAGGTGCGCGTGATCTAGGTATATGCTGATAACCACAAGGAAAGAAGAAAACACAAAGTTCCCAAGCGCTTTCGTGTAATTCACATCTTCAGGAGTGAGTACAGACTAGAGAGAGTAATACAAATCAAGGTATATATATACAGAGGAGGGTGAGACCAGGTCCACAATGGTCAGGTATTAGGTAATGACCCTACTAATCTTTAAATAGCACACAACGGTTGGTGGTCAGGTCAGATGGTCAGGTGACCCAGCCTTCTCACCTGATCACAAATCTTCTTAATTACAAAATTGTCCAGCTTGTACATGCCGTTACTCAAATTCATGTTGAATGCTTCGGTATGTTTAATAAGACTAGATTCTATGATGTTCCTACTATCAATTGAATTACATGGTAATATTGAGGAGGCATTATCCCAGTCAATGCAATGCTTGTTATCCCTCAAATGAACAAACAGAGCATTGGATTCCTGGCCTGTCCTAACACTATATTTGTGTTGTTTAATTCTAGTTGCAAGATCTTTACCTGTCTGGCCTAAGTAAAACATATTACATTCCTTGCAAGGAACTTTATAAATGCAACCAATTGTGTTGTTGGGGAGTAACGGCATGTACAAGCTGGACAATTTTGTAATTAGAAGATTTGTGATCAGGTGAAAGCCGGGTCCTTGACCATCTGACCTGACCACCAACCGTTGTGTGCCATTTAAAGATTAGTAGGGTCATTACCTAATACCTGACCATTGTGGACCTGGTCTCACCCTCCTCTTATATATACACCTTGATTTGTATTTCTCTCTAGTCTGTACTCACCTGAAGATGTGAATTACGAAAGCGCTTGGGAACTTCGTGTTTTCTTCTTTCCTTGTGGTTATCAGCATATACCTAAATCACGCACCTACAGTGATTTACTTGCATATATATATATATATATATATATATATATATATATATATATATATATATATATATATCATGTAGATCCACAATGCAAATGTGGATAAGATAAATCTTGATAAAATCACACAGGAAAAAGAAACAGTGGAGCCAACATATGCTCTGCTTTTGTATTTCATCAAAATCAACTGTCTTGGCACATTCATTTTCTATAGAAATCATAGCTAGGCTGTTCAATCTTACCTGAGTTATGCTAGAACGAAGATAATTCTTGATGAGTTTCAGTTTAGAGAAACTTCTTTCACATGATGCAACAGACGCACATATTGTTAAAAAGAATCTCAGGCACAATGACAAGTTTGGCAAGGTTTCACAAAAGTCCCATTTGACAATAAACTTCAGGAACTGCAAGACTGTCCATTTATTTGCTTCTTCAGGTGTGATTTTGGCAGCCTCCATGTGTCTGCGAAGTTGCATAATTTCTACCATGACATCCTCATCAGAAATTTCATTAAAAATCTTTGTCATGCTTGTTTTTTAAATACTCCCCTGAAGTTGTTCTTCTTTTGCAGAAAGCAAGTAGCTTGGCTGAATAGCTGCAAATATTGACACGATGTTATCCATGGCCTCTGAACGAGCATCCAATTCTAGACTAAATCGATCTAAACATTCAAACATTGATCTCCTCATTTCCTCTTCCATTGTCAGTCCAGCATCCCTAGCCATCTCTCCTGGCATCATTTTCTTACGTCTTATCCTCCCTCTTGTTTCCATGGAGATGCCCATTTCTTCACATTGTGTAGTTGCATATTGAATCGCTATCTCCACAATTTCATTCCGCTGACCTCGAAGAAACAATTTCAAACCATTGAGCTTTACAGTGCACTTTTCAAGACTTACTCCTTGTGTTTGCAAATACTTCTGTGTGAGATTCACTTCTTCCAGTACATCACACCAAAAACAAAGATAACCCAAAAAATAAAAATCACATACAGCTTTAAGCAAAACTTTAGCTGATCCTCTTGTGTCAACATTTTCTCTCTGATCCATCAATGTTTCCAGAGCTATGATCAGCTTCTCAAATTGTTTCTTGAGAGGCTTTACGGCATCATGATGTGCACTCCATCTAGTCTGAGAAAGTCTTTTGACTGTCAGGTTCATATTTTCTTTCAGTACTTCCCATCGGTGAGTTGAAAGTGAAAAAAAGCAATAAAGTTTCTCTACACTTCCAAAGAATGTTGCACATAAAGGATTGGTTCTAAAAGAGTCTACCCCACAAAGGTTCAAGGAATGATTGGCACAAACAAAACCTTTGGATTTATTTCTTTGATTTTCTTCTGAACACCTCCATGAATACCAGCCATAGTTGCAGCATTATCATATCCTTGACTGCGGCAAAAGTTTATGTCCAGTCCATCACTCTCCACATTACTCAGGATATCCTTTGTGAGCTCATTTGCAGTTTTTCCAGCAATAGGAAAGGAACACAAGAAAGATTCCCTTACTTCAAGAGAATCACCTTCAATATGAACATATCTAATCACTTCGGACATCTGATCTGTATGAGAAATATCAGTTGTACTGTCAAAAAGAATTCCAAAGTTTTTGCCTTAACATTATTTCCTAGAAGACAGATGAACTCATTCTGAATATTTGGTGACAGATAAGAGCTCACTCTCCTTCCAGATGTCTGAGATGGAATAGCATGCTTAACCTACAAAAGAGTTTCTTTCAAAGCAGGATCATAGTTTGATAGTGACTCCACCAGTTCCAGGAAATTGCCTTTGTTTATTGATAACATATCCTCCCTATGACCACGAAAAGGAAGGTTCTGTCGAGCTAGAAACATCCAAAAGACGATGAAGTATATCCCTCCATTTCTTCCTCTCTCTGTCCATTGCAGCTTAATTACCATGATCAACAGTTCTTTTAAGCTTTAGTCCTGCCTCTTGGCACCCCCCTCTGGCTGTCACCCGGGGCGGACTGCCCCCCCTTAGTACGCCACTGATCACACGCCAGCACTGTAGCTGAAGCCAGCGGCAATAACACTCATTATTCTAATTTTTATACAATTTATTGCTTGTCATTGTTGAAGATGGAGGAGACAACCACCTCGTTACAGCCTCATGGATCGTTAAAGTTGATGGTAGTTAAGATCTTTGTGTCGTCCAATTGAGGTTGGGGTACTTATATAGGACTAACCCAAGAGCAAAATGGATTGATAACTATTATAAAAACATCAGATTTTCATTGTTATATTATAGTGGACACTGTTTGTGGTAATGTTACTAAAATGGATGTT